TCTTGTTTCTGAAAAATATACTCCCCCCTGAAAACAGTCAACATTAGGCAACCAGTTAACACTTTTAAAGTGATTATTAAAGTGTAAAAAGATTTTTTTACAAATTTTGTGATACTGATGGAAACAGGTACAGATATATTATAATAATTAAAAAAAAAGGTAATAGGAAAGAAAGCTATTTGATTTACTCTAACTCAAAAATTAATTTGCTGCTCCTCCCTCTGGAGTATTTTGATTTGAAATGGCCACGTAACAGCATGGAGGAGAAAAACAGGAACTGCATCATCTTGGATAGCTCCCTTCCTACCCAATGTTACAAATCTATAGCATAAGTTACATGCCTTTACACAGACACATCCAAGCTGTGCCTAAACATATTGATTCTCTGTAATTAGAACCAGAGCCATCAAGAGATACACCTCTATCATGCACAGCTGCATTACATCATGCACTGTGATACAGCACATCAACTGCATGAAATGCCAGCACAATTTCTGCCCCACCCAGATACCATAAAAACCCTTTAAAACAGATTATCATTATCAATCTTCTTCAGAAGCTTAAAAAGAATGGAGAAACCAATCCAGCCTCAGAAGACATCCAATACTGCCTGCATTTCCCAATGTGACACTGCATTCAAGGCACACCTCAAATTACAGTTTTTCCACAACACATCAGCAATGCAGCCCATTCTGCAACTTTTCTTATTCTTCCCTTCACTCATCACTTCTCCATTTAGAGGTATTAGCACTTCAGCATGTTTCTCTTCTTCCTCTTTACATGGCTACTATTTTCCCAAGTGCTGAAGAGCACAATGTGCCAAAACCAGCCATGCAGCGAACATTTCTCTTGAAAAAATGTAACAACACTGAGAAACAAAATAAATAGTTTACTTACTTTCCCAGAGACTAACATTTTTTGTTTCAATTATTTTGATGCTTTAAAATCCCACGCTCAGCCTGTTTAAATAAACTGCGAGATATTGCAACTAGCTCAGAAATCTGAACCAAATAACAGTTTGTTATAAAGAGAATACCAAGACCAACGCAATCAAATAAATTAGAGTAGCAGCCAGAAAATACTGCCTGAAGAAAAACTATTGAGTGCAAGTCAAAAAGAAGCAGCTAAGAGACAAGGACAAAAGCTAATCTGGTATATATAAAAATAGGGGGGTGGTTGTTTTGCTGGTTGAAGGACAATTTTTTATAAGCATGGCTTTGTCCTGTGTCCACGTTTCACAGCCCCAGGAACAAATCTTTGCAAAGAATTGTAAAATGCTGCAGTAGTAAAGTCATGCAAAGTGTTGATAACTGCAAAGACATGTAAATCTTGCAAAAAAGACACAGTACCAGAAAACAACCAAGGTCCAGTTATGTCAGAGAATCAAAAAAGCAAACCTAATCACAATGATTTGGATAGCTGCTTGCAGGATTTTTTGGGGGGTGGGGGGTGGAGTGTCTTATGGAAGAATTTGATCCCATTTGGAAAACAGATTTTTTTCCACCTCTCCTCAGGTTTCAGCCAGGACAAGAGCACTGTTTGTCAGCCTAACATTTTTATCATTTTAGATCTTTGAATTACTTTTCAGCCGATTTTTTTTTTCCATACCCATCATGCTGGTCTACCCAAATAGTGGAAGAAATTAGCACTATTAATATTAAGCCTTTTCACCAATTAAAGCAGGAAGCCTTTATTCTCACTATTAAATATTACTTCAGAATGGTAAGAAATAGAAATTGGTTTTCCTGCATCATAACACTACACTGCAGAGAGGAAATCACGTATTAACCTACTGAATCTTTTATCACAACCAGACCTACAAGAGGTAGAACAGGTCATGGGATAAAAGAATCCCAAATCTGCACTTACTGCAGCTCTAACTAACCATCCCTACTGCAAGGAAACACTAATCCTTCTTCAAATACTAACACAAATTAATCTCCACAAAAGAGGAAAAACAAAAAATTCTTGAGGTGGGCAACACATTCCAAACTAGCACTGTAGAGGTGATACAACCTCTTTAGAACAGTAAAGAGAGTTAAAACAATAATGTTTTTATATTTCATTAATAAAAATAGTTCAAAACATAAAAATTGGAACGTCCACTGTCACAATTCAAGCTGCTTAGAAAACTCAGAGACCTTGTTTTGAAGAAGAAGCATAGCTTTGTTTATGAAATCAAAAAAAACTGCTTCTCATGTTCACCACAGCCAGTTTCTGAATTTAGCAAGCAATGGGTTTTTCAGCAGGAGGTTGGGAGAAAGGCCTCCAGAGATTCTTTCCAGCCTGGACTCCTGAAAAATGTTATTATTAAAAGGAGACATTCCAGAATCAAAAGTGACTACTGCAAAAACCAGAAAAATTAAGAATTTAAATGTTAGAAAATATAACAAGTTCTCTGCAGTTCCTAATACATCTTTAGGTGACATCTGCATAAAGTACCTACATGAAGATGAGTGTTGAGAAAAAAAAGTTTGTCCTTATCAAAACATAATAACTTGAATATTTGTACTATGCTTGTAGGGATAAAATTATTCTTTTGTTGTAGTAGGGATAAAATTCACGTATAACTTGAGATAGAGGAGATTCATTACAGTATAGCTGCTTCCAATTCACCAAATAATCAGCAATGCTTCTGGATACCATAGATTTTCTGATAAATACTGTAATAAAAGAATAATTTAAGCACTGAAGACTTTATTTTCACCCTCCATCCTACACTTACGTCCTATGCTATGGTGCAAAAAAAAATTTTAAATGTTAAAATATATTCCCGACTTTAATTACATACAAATCGTAGAGAAAGTGGGGACTGAGCATTAACATTTTTTAACTACATTGTTTCAAAATTGTTCAGCTGACTAAACAATTAACACGCAACAGTAAATTTTTGCAAGAGAAGTTAATTAACTTTTTCAAGTCAAACTCTGGACTCTTCAACTCAATAATTCTTGGGTCAGAACAATTAGTAAGAGTAAAGGTGGCAAACGGCAGAGTTCATCAAGGGAAGTAATGGTTCTTTCCACCTATCACTGTTCTTTGCCCACTTTGCTGTTTCAGATTAGGCATATTCTCTATGCAATATATGAGTCTCATTTTCATCCCCCTCCTAAGCACATGCCTCTTTAAAGAGGGGACTCCAAGGCATCCTTCTGTTCACTCTATCCTCTTCACCAAAACATCTTTCATTTTGACGTCTTTCTGCATGTGATGCATGTGCAACATGTATGTGTAACAGGTCCCAGCAGCAGCGATGGCAATAGAACCAGTTTCAAATCGCAGGCATTCTTGCTTAAGTACTCACAGGAGCTTAAACACAAACTAAAGAGTTAAAAATAAAAGGCCACTGAAGGGCTTTGCGAATGGAACTTCCTTCCGCTGCCCAAAAGGAAAAACAGTGAGTTGAAAAGTTTTGGTCTTAAAGTAACTTGGTTAAAACTAAACTCAAGACATTTTTCAGACAGAATGTCTTGAAATGAGACAGAATGTCTCTAACCACAGACACTAATCTACTGCTTCACTACTGCATGACCAGTCAAAAGAGTCCCTGTTCCACACCAATGGTACTGGTGGTTTTTACTCTGTTAATTGCTTCTTGCAAAGGGGGTGATAGAAGGATTTTTTTTTTCCTTAAGCCTACTAGAACTTTCCCCAAAGATTAGGTCATCCCTCCCTAACAGGAAAATATTTTGGTTTCATTTATTAGCATTCCTGAATGAAAGGAAGACAAATATTCCGTTGAGAACTAAAAAAGTAAAAACATGTTTAAGTAGTCCTGCAAGGAGTTGGATTATCCTTATGAGCCCCTTCCAACTCGTGATATTCTATGAACTCTAACAACCTTATTTAGCGTTACATGTTGTAAAGCTACTTTCATTGCACCTCAAAACACTGTAACTGTGCATAACTTACGGCCACTGATCCCAAAGAACTTACTTAGAAAAAGCTCATTAGCTTTATTTTCATACTAATTGGACTGGCATGTGTCAAGTTTTATTTTCCTTTCAAGACACTTGAGAAAATTTCAGTCAAATTACATGCCATTACCTCAACATGCTCAAATTTCTATACAAATTAGTTCAGCAGCTCTCTTCAGAGGAACTTCACTGAAATAAGACACCACCACATAATAACTGCTGAATAACGCAGTTTAAGACCGTATAATAAAATGCTCAACTAACCGCAGGCTGCAACTGAACTGCTATTTCAGCCAAGTAAACTGGCTGAGGACTTGTCTGGGGCCAGTTTAAGTATATTCTAGAAGCACAAAAGCAGCCAATCCTCCGGCAGATGACTCGTCATCAATACAAATGACTGCTCACCTAGAGAACATCAAAGACTTTAGCGGCGGTACTTCTGCTAAGAAAAGCGAGCGATGACCTTAGCGGGGCTGGTGCGTACCGAGATACCGTCAGCCCCAAACCCAACCCTGCTGAGAATACATGACACGTACTCATTGTATTTATTGATTACGGCGAGAGCACGACAAGGGAGAGTCCAACAAGGGCTCCACCGCCCACGGCTCCCGGGAGAGCGCTCCCCCCACATCCTCCTTCTCGGAGGCCCGATCCCACCTCTGCCCCGGGGAGGAGGGAGGTCCCCGACGGGTTTACAAACACGGGCACAGCGAGGGCGACGCTCAGGGACATCTCCCCTTCCCTCCCAGCGCCAGAGCTAACGCGGGCAGCCGAGTTTCCAGCGCGGAGGGCACCGGAGGAAGCAGGGGGAAGCGGGCGGTGGGAAGGAGGAGCGCCGGGAAGGCAGGAGGGAAGGAGGGGGCCGGGGATGCTGCCTGGCCGCCCCGCCCCGCCGCCGGGCCGCCTGGCAAATGGGGCTCCGCGCAGGGGGCTGCGGCGGAGAGCGGGGGAGGGAGGGCGGGGGAGGAAGCGAGGCGGCAGCTCCCCCGCACAATGGCCGCCCGCCCTCCCCCCTTCCTTCCTCCGCCGCCCCGCTCCCTCCCCGGGCTGGGGCCGCCGCATCCCCCGCGGGCCCCGCCGTACCTGCAGCGTCACCTCCTCGGGTCTCCAGTGCGGGCGCAGCCGGCGCAGGAGCTGCAGGGCGCCCTGGCGGTACCCGGGCCCCTCCTGCTCGCTGACGGTGATGTCCAGCTTGGGCACCTCCGGCGAGCCGGGCGGGACGTGGATGTAGTTGGACATGACGGCGGGGCGGGACGCGGCGCGACAAGGACGGGCAGGTCTCGCTGGCGTCTCCTCCGCGGCGGTGCCGGCAACTGAGGGGGAAATTTCCACTTGGGCTCCCGATAAAGCGGCTCCACCTCCCCCGGCGGCGGCGCGGAGCAGGCTGGGAGAGCGGGCGGGGCCGGGCCGGGCCCAGCCCAGCCCTGCCCAGCCCTGCCCAGCCCTGCCCTCAGCCCGCCGCCGGGCCCCTCACCTGCCCGCCCGGCCCCTCGGCACCCCCGGTGCCCCTCGGAACCACCCCGCCCGCCGTGGGGCTGCCAGGGAGGGGATTAACCAAATCTCCTCGAGGCTGGAGCGGGAGCGCGGCCCCGGGCGTGAAGGAATGCGGGGCCGGCAGCTGCGGCGGCGCCGCCCAGCCAGTCCCCGGGCAAGCGGCTGATCCTAATCGGGCCCCGGGGTTATCGGCTGCGCTTGGGTTTTTTTGTCATTATTGGCGTGCCAGCCTTCGTAACACCTCCCCTCCGTTCCCCTTTTGTTTGCCCGTGCCCTGCGGGGCCCGTACCTGCTCGGCACCTCGCTCCGCTCCCCGAGTCCATCCGGGTGCGGTTCGGTACCGTTCGTGGTCCCTCGGGGCACCTGATCTGTATTCCTGATTTAAACATCCTAACAAAGGTCACCCTTTCCCTGAGCAGCACAGAACAGTTACATTCCGTCCTTCTACAGAACAGTTATATTCTTTTCTTCTACAGGATAGTTACATTCTTTCCTTCCTTTCTTTTCCCCGTTTTACGCTGAAAACCCTGTTGCCTTGAGGTTATTTTCAGCCAAAAAAAAAAAAAAAGAGCCCAGTCTATACCACAGGATTTTACTAACCAAGAAAAAATATTATCCAATCCTTTTCAGAAATATTTTGATGCTCCCCCTAATATTCCTGTGAGTACCTGCCTTCCATCACAGTGTGTGATCTTCCCACGTAGGAAAAGCTGAACAAGAAGTTCTGTAAAAACAGCTTTATTGAGTTTGCTGAAGACACAAGAACTATGTAAATAGAGTAATGGTTGGTCACTTCCCTAAAGAGTTGTGACTCTAAATAGACACACGTCAGGGGAAAGAGAAACAATTTGTGCTCAAAATGTACAGTGCCGTGAGGGAAGCAGCTAGTTCTACAGGTTTAGTTCTCACAAATTTCATGTGTGTTCCTCTCCAAAAGTGCACTGCATTGTCAAATTTCCCATGCTGTCACCCACGACCAAATTGTGAATGGGTCTTGTCTTTTACCAAAAACTGCTGTCTCCTTAACACCAAAAGGTTTTGCACGACTTCACTATGTAACTGCACCATTGTTTCTATTCCTATTATTTCTGTTGCTCAATAAACTAGTTTTCCTTCTGTTGTATTTTAAATAAAAATTTAAAGTTTATGGGTTGGTGTTATTAGTGTAAATATGTTATTCTACATTAATATCCTTTTTCTACTGAGGATTAAAAAGGTAAGAAGATTGGAGTCTGAACCAAATTTCAAATGCCATAGAATTTCCAGATCTAAATGTTATAGCTTGAGTACATTTCTAGTGGTAAAATGCCTTTGTTTAAATCTGTTCCCTAAAAAGACTCTTTCAGGTTTTATAACCCTCTTTCCTATGATTTTGTGCCATTTATGTACACTGACTCAATGCTTTCTTAAAATCTCCCTTCTCCATCTCACCTGATTGGACCTACCCATTTCTTCCATTAGCCCACTCCACTTTTTATTCTTTGAAAGCAAAAGTATTTTGGAAGTTAAACACTTTGAAAGATAGATTTCTTTAAACACACTCACCTTTATACATTGTTCAGCCCTATAAGTCAGTATTACCATAGTAACATGGTATCATTCTACCCGATCAAGCATGTGATACATGGTGATGTGACCTCTGCTTCTGCTTAGGCAGTTTGGTAGATGATAAACTAAGATTTATTTATGGATTAAGGGCAAAGTGACGTTTTTGTAGAAATAAAATATCAAAGGTTGAATGCTCCAGCTTCCAAATGTTAATTTCAACAGGAGCTCGTCTCAACAGAGATTCAATCTCACTAATGCTGTGCATAATAGGCTCTGAGAAGCCTTGCTAACTTACCCAAGTCCGACTGGATTTCCATAAGTTGTTTGAGAGTGTATTTTAAACATAGAGGGGGGAAGTTAGAGCAGCCATAGTGCTTAGGTTTTTTTTCTGAATGATGGGAGCTGAATTTCTGAAGTAGATGAAAGAACCAAGAACACTTTGGCAGTAATACCCTTATCTTTTTGGTCATGGTAGAAAGACATATCTTTTTTGCTTGTCCTCGTGGAACATTGGGGATTCTTAATTCCTGTTTTAAAACAGTTCAATAGAAGTTATAGTTACGTACTTACATAATTTCCTTTCCTTTTTACCTTTTGTTTCCTGCAAATATTTGCTGTGTCCAAATCAAACCCTAGAAAACATTTTCTGAAGGCTGGGACTCTTTCTCAAGGTTCCAAGAATAGTACTTTTTTCCTTTTTTTGAAAAATTTGTTTTCATTTTTCTTTTTCCCCCCTCTAGACACCTGTACTCTACAAACTGTGACATTCCTTAGTAGGAACTCTAGTAGCTACAAAATATTCAGGTCAGCTGTAGACTTGTCCTAAGAAAACCTGATGTTACGTGAAGTGAGGGCTCAGGATTAAAGAGAGTGTGTTTTCTCTTAACGCCTTATACATTTGTAGGTACACCATACTGAGGTGACCAATAAGGTCTGAGGCTGACCATAGATGTACACAGCATGGAACTGAAGAAAACAGGGTGCTCTGCCTGTCTACCAGGCAGCCTGTCTGCTTATCCTCACTGTTGTACCATTCTCTTCCTTTCTGCTGGTCAGGAACCAGGCTGTGCGATTTAATCTATTCCTACATTTTCCACCTTGTCTTTACATCAGTGCTGGATGCTTTATAAGCTCTTTAAAAAAGAATAAATAATTAAAAAAAAAAAAAAGGGCACGAAGAGCAACATCAGACCCAGAACCAGTTTTAACTTCCCAGGTGCGGTTCACCTGGCTGCTTTCCAAAGCCAGTGATTCAGTAATTGCTTCAGGAGGACTCATTGCATAAATGTGACTATAAATGGAAAATTCACCCCTTCTAGCCATAATTAATTTTTATAACATTTTGCATAGCAGAGAGTCTCAAAATACTTTCTGTCGTTCTAATCTCACAAATAAAAAACCTGAGTCATCAGAAGGTTAAATCTGCCATTAGACTAGCCAGACAACTGGCCTGAACACAATTTTTTAACTTCCAGTCCAGTCCTTTGATCACAGGATTTCTTCAGTGCTTTCAAGCATGTCATTTCTGTTCATTATCCTGCATGTATTATTTGTGTCAAGATGAATCACATCTCTCTACAGACAGTGTAAAACTGTAAGGCAATGCTTTTATTTATTTATTTATCATAATGGTTTTTAAAGCTTGTGGTGGCCTAGCATCCGTATTGATTTACCAGCAGCAACACTCAACACACAAAGTTGATCATTCTATCACATTTGTTGTACTCAGTAAACAGATTTCATTTTAATCTTAGTGAAGACGAGCTTGCAATAGTTTATTTTATGGGAATCTTGACAGTTTAGAAATTTCTCTAAGATCAATACGGTTTGTTGTTGAAATGGTAAAAACTGCTCTCTTGTGCAGCTGCTTGACACAATAATAGGTTATAGCTTTTTCAAGTATATTTTGAAAGCTATATACAACAGCAGAGTACAAGCCTCAATGCTCACAGCAGTTTTATGGCTTATTTTTCTAGTGGGCTACCAATTAGTGACACTCATTTAACACATTCCACGTGATAACCTAGTTCCTGACCAGCTAACTCCTTTTTCCAACGTGGCACTGGCGTGGTGCATAATGTAATGTAGTAACAGATGTGATTACGTGGGGAATAGAAAAGTCATTCCCAGCTCTTTCAGCTTTCTGGGGTTTCACCTGGAAACCTCCGAAGTTTCTAGTGGAAGTCTGGACATCTGTGCCAACAGGATTGGTCACCTCCCAGGCCTCTTCAGATGAATGCACAGGAGTCCTCCCTCTGTGCTGTCCCTGGCTCCAAGTCCATGAACTCATAGGCTGAACTGCTGTGAGAAGTTACCCAGTTACATGTCCTGCAGGAAACCTGTTAACTAAGCACAACCCTTAAACTGATCTGTTAATTAATCTCAACACCAGGAACAGACAAAACCTGGTAAAACCTGCTTAGGTCAGTAGGACCACATACATGCTTATGCTTAAGCAGGTGCTAAATCAAAATGAGCAGTTTAGCAAGGAATTCTGTAGTTTCTCCACACTGTACTTTTGTTTAGGGACATTTATAAAGCAATATAGCCACTGGGTATAAAGAAAGAATTAAAAAAATCTTCATACTGATTACACCACTCAAAAATACAGGTTAAATAAAGCAGTACAAAATTGTAATTAAGGCCAGTGCCTTCATTCATTTTCATAGACATATCTGTATTTTAAAATACAAAGAGTAATTACAAGTTGACTGATCCCTGACTAAACTCGAACTGTACACATGTCCAATGATTTACCATATCCTGGTATTTTTCTCAAGGCCAACGAGTACATATACCGTGTAAGTACCCAAAAAGAGTCTACTTCAGCATATTTAGGATCCCTTGCACACATGAATAAATTCACCTGCAGCAATATAGGAGGAGGAGTTGTATCTTCTAGAAATTTACACTTTTCTAACATTTTATTGACTAATCAAACATCCTCCTATGAAGAAAAGTTATAAACATCAGCAATTCAAAACACAGTCTGTGAACAAAGACAATATCAAACATGAATTTAAATGTCATGCAAGCTGGTAGAAGAAGCACAAAACGCTTTTTCCTATTTTTAAGGTACCATCAGAATGTCATTCTGTATTCTCTTGTGAAATCTCTAATCAATTTTACAGCATAAAGGAGTGGGGGGAGGAGATAGCTGAACTAAATTAAAACAATTAAAAAATGAGTACAGAATTATCTTAAGAGACTGAGAGTACAGTTATCACATATAAATGACTGCCACTTCACATTCAAACTGAATCAATAATGAAGAAGAGAGAAATCTGGTGTTTTGAGAACCGGCTGAACGGCAGAGCTCAGGAGTTTGTGAACAGTGGTGCAGAGTCCAGCTGGAGGCCTGTGGTTTACTGGTGTCCCCAGGGGTCAGTGCTGGGGCCAGTCTTGTTCAACTTATTCATCAGTGGCTTGGATGAAGGGACAAAGTGTACCCTCACCACATTTGCTGATGATACAAAGCTGGGAGGAGTGGCTGACTCACCGGAAGGCTGTGCTGCTGTTCAGAGAGACCTGGACAGGTTGGAGAACTGGGTGGAGAGGAACTTAAAGTTCAACACAGAGTCCTGTACCTGAGGAGGAATAACCCCCTGCACCAGCACAGGCTGGGGTCTGGCCTGCTAGGAAACAGCTCTGCAGAGAAGAACCTGGGGGCCCTGGTGGACAACAGGCTGTCCATGGGCCAGCAGTGCCCTTGTGACCAAAAAGGCCAATGGGATCCTGGGGTGCATTAGGAAGGCCAG